GTCTTCATCTTTGGAGCCGATATTTTTCTTTGACCTGGTTTGCCTAGCCGCTGCAGACTTTTCCTTTTTAGGCTTCAACTTGGCTGCGCATCCCATGCTCTGGGTCACATCTTCGTTTTAGCATTAAATGTCCTCCATGCTGGATTTCTTTTATTTGATTGGCTTGAGATGATCACGAGATATAAACAAAGTGTTTAATTTTTGTATCTAATAAAATTTATGCTGGTAGGATTTGAATATCTATTAAGGTAAATTACCTTATTGCATTTTTAATTTCCAATATAATTTTATTAGTCTAAAAAATTGTACATTTATTTGTCTTCAAATATACACATGTAGTGAATGTAATATTAATACCTATGTGACTTTTACTCTTGTGACAGTAATAATTTTTGTTCAAATAAATTGTATACCGGTAGGATCTAAATATCCTATTTAAGGAAAAAGAATTTACCTTATTGCATTTTGACTTTTCCGGTATAATTTTATTTGTTACAAAAATTGTATATTGATTTGTCACCTTATGGTTTAATTTATATACGAGTTTCATGAGACACAATGTACAGGTGCAGAGTATAGTGGCATCATCAAAATCTATCAAAATTGGGTACTAACAAGGTCTTAAAGCAAAGTTGTAAGTATGACAACAAACATTGGAGAATAAGGGTTTCAAGCTAAGTCGGAGCAAGACAGAGTACATGGAGTGCAAGTTTGGTGGAGGTAGAAGCAATGGTAATAACGGAATTACTCTGGATGGTAAGGAGATACCAGTCAGCGATATGTTCCGTTACTTGGGCTCCATAATTCAGAAGGACGGTGAGTTAGATGGAGATGTATCCCATAGAATCAGAACAGGGTGGATGAAGTGGAAGAGTGTGTCAGGATTTCTATGCGATCGAGGTATGCCGATTAGACTGAAGGGTAAATTTTATAGGACGGTAATTAGGCCTGCATTACTGTATGGCGTAGAGTGTTGGGCGGTGAAACAATGTCACATTCAAAAGATGAGTGTTGCAGAGATGTGAATGTTGCGTTGGATGTGTGGGCATACTAGGAAGGACCGCGTGAGGAATGAGACAATCAGACAAAGGGTGGGAGTAGCACCTATTGAAGACAAGATGCGGGGGTCGCGTCTACGGTGGTTTGGTCATGTGCGTAGAAGACCAAGTGTTGCACCTGTCAGACGAGTTGAGATGTGTGGAGAAGAGGCAGAGAAGAGAGGGAGAGGAAGACCCAAACAGGCGTGGGTTAGGGGAGTTCAAAGTGATATGCTTCTTCTGGGGTTGGATGAGGGCATGACTTTAGAGAGAGGTAAGTGGAGGGCGGGTATTCGTGTGGAGGAGTGATCTCGTATCATCTTTTTTCCTCATCTTTTTTCCTTGTTTTTTTATCCTTATATATATAAGATTAATTTGTATCCTTTTTATTTTATCATTTTTATGCATATTCATCTCTTTTTATATTATCTTTTTATAATAACTTATCTTTTTTATCTTTATTTCCTTTCTTTTCCTTTTGGTGGTGATATCATGTATCGATTCATGTTAACCGACCCCAATATCTTTTGGGACTAAGGCTTGGATGTTGTTGTTGTTGTATTAATATGTACTCCATCTGCCCCTTAAAACTTTGTCAAGTTTGACCGGCACGGAGATTAATAAAGTAAAAACTGTGTGGTTGAGATTTGTGCAGAGGAGAGAGAATTAACTGAAACCATAAAATAATTGATTAAATGGGAAAGTGGCAAAGTTTTTTGGGACATCCCAAAAGGAAAGTTGGCAAAATTTTAAGGGACGGAGGGAGTAATATTTAACCTAGAATGAAGAAGAAGAACATTGAAGATTTCTATCATATTGAACAATTTGATGATATTCTTTTTTATATTTTCACATGAACTTAGTAAATTAAAGATGATATTTATCTCGCGCGTCATCGTTTTGTTATACTTTTTCTTAGTTGCGTTGCACTATTTGTGTATTTGTGAATTTTAGTACTACATATGCAATTTCTTGTATTTGAGGTGGAGGTCATACTTTGATACCTTGTTCAACGGGAATAAAGTCCAAGATATTGATGATCTTACTATACCAGAGTGTATGGTAAATAGGGACTTCGTGAGAAGGATTCAAACAACAGAAGTTAAAGAGGCTATGAGAAAAATGGGCCGGAAGAAAGCACTGGGCCCGGATGGCATACTGATTGAGGCTTGGAGAAGTTTGGGAGAGAAAGGCATCGAGTGGCTAACACGTTTCTTCAACATGATTTGGAGAAACAACAAATGACAGTGAGTTGGCGGAAGAGTACTCTCATTCCCTTATTTAAAAATAAGGGTGATGTACAAGAATGTGCTAACTATCGAGAGATTAAGCTTATGAGTCACACCATGAAACTTTGGGAGCGAGTGGTTGAACAAAGACTACGTAAAAGTGTGAAAATTTCGGAGAATCAATTTGGTTTTATGCCTGGACGCTCAACAACTGAGACCATTCACCTTCTCAGACAAGTTGTGGAGAAGTATAGAGACACTAAAAAGGATCTGCATTTGGTGTTCATTGACTTAGAAAAGACATATGATAGGGTACCTTGAGAAGTTCTTTGGTGGGCCTTAACTAGAAAAGGCATATCACGTAAGTATATCAGCATCATCATGGATATGTATGATGCTTGTACTACAAGTGTCCTCACTAGTGTAGGGAGGACCGCAGAGTTCCCTATTACTATTGGAGTGCACCAAGGATCTGCTTTGAGTCCTTTCTTATTTGCTTTAGTCATGGATGAACTTACGAAGTCACTCCAAGAAGATATACCGTGGTGCATGATGTTTGCCGATGATATTGTATTGATTGATGAGACACAATCCGGTGTTAAAGCAAAGTTGGAAGTATGGCGACAAACATTGGAGAGCAAAGGGTTTCAAACTGAGCCAAAGCAAGACTGAGTATATGGAGTGCAAGTTTGGTGGAGGTAGAAGCAGTAGCAACACTGGGATTACTCTTGATTGTAAGGAGATACCGGTGTGTGATATGTTCCGTTACTTGGGATCCATAATTCAGAAGGATGGTGAATTAGATGGAGATGTATGTCATAGAATCAGAGCTGGGTGGATGAAATGGAAAAGTGCTACAGGATTTCTATGCGATCGTGGTATGCCTACTACACTGAAAGGTAAATTTTATCGTATAGCAATTAGGTCGGCATTAATGTATGGCGTAGAGTGTTGGGCGGTGAAGCAATGCCACATTCAAAAGATGAGTGTAACAGAGATGTGTATGTTGCGTTGGATGTGTGGACATACCAGAAAAGACCGCTTGAGGAATGAGGTAATCAGACAAAAGGTGGGAGTAGCACCTATGGAAGATAAAATGCAGGAGTCTCGTCTGCGATGGTTTGGGCATGTGCATAGAAGACCGAGTGATGCACCTGTTAGACGACTTGAGGGATGGGGAGAAGAGTCAGAGAAGAGAGGGAAGGGAAGACCCAAACAGACTTGGATTAGAGTAATCAGAACTGATATGCGTCTTCTTGGGTTGGATGAGAGTATGGCTTTGGAGAGAGCAAAGCGGAGGACGCACATCCATGTGGACGATTGATGTCTTGTCTATCTCCTCTTTTGTTTCTTTTATCGTTTATCTTCCTTATCTTTTTATATTCTTATGTTATTTTTATCTTCTAGCTTTTTTATGTTCTTTTATTTATTTTTCTTTTATCTTGGTTATATTCTTGTGTTATTGTTATCTTATATTTATGTATTTTTATTTTATTCATTTTATCTTACTTTTTTTTCCTTTTCTTGTACGCCTTCTCTTTTTGGCATCGATATCATAGACCGATTCATGTTAGCCGACCCCAAATTCTTTTGTGATTAAAGCTTGGATGTTGTTGTATATGCAATTTATTGTATTTATATCAATATTTCATGTGAGTTGGTTGGTGTGAAGATATCTAACAATTGCAAGATTTGTTCAAAATTTTTAGCATGTGTTCGGCATTGTACCGTACCGCTTTGTACCGTTCCGAAACGGCATGATACCGAACGGTTTTATCCTTGAAACCGGACCGTACCGGACCGTTAAAAACCTAGCGGATACATTACGAGTTTTTCTAGTTTACCGGACCGTTTCGGACCGCGCCCACCCCTAGGCCTTAATTGGTTATGGACTAGTTTTGTAGATGTTGCTTAAGAGTTTGTGTTGCTTCATGTTTTTGTTGCTGAAAGTATAAAAAGAGTTGCTGAAAGTTCGATGCCGGTTTACAAAAAGTGCTGAAAGTTTGCAATATTTGTTGAAAGTAAAGTTTTTGCTTTTTGGCTTGGTACACAATTTAAGATAGTGAGTATTGTGTGGTGGATAATTATGCAGAGGAGAGAGAAATGTTGTGAACCATAGATTCTTAAGTAATAAAGAAATTGAAAATTTTAATTAAAACATACTAAAAATAAAAGTTACTACCTCCATTCCCATTTTAACTTCCAAATGGGTTTGACACAAAGTTTAAAATAATGGATATTGTGTGGTGGAGAGTTGTGCAGAGGAGAGAGAAATGTGTAAGAAATGTGTAAGAAATGTTGTGAACCACAAATTCTTTACCAAAAAAGGAAAGTGGAAATTTTAATTGGAACGAACGAAAAAGGAAAGTTGGAAGTTTATTTAGGAACGGAGGGAGTAAAAATTATAATAGGAACAATACTATATAACGGTACAAAAAAAGCAAGGGAAACTTACTCATCTTTCCCGTCCAAAATCACGGGTGTAAAAGCAGGTCAAAAAAACAGGTCCGATTGTTCGTAAAAATAGCGTCCAAGGCGTAGTAGCTGTAACCCGTAGGTTAATAAGACACACTCCAGCTCTCTGCCCAATGTTTTCTTTGAACCCGTGAGTGCACTACAGCTGTCCATCCAACCCAGGGAGCTTACAGAGACATAGAGTTCACGCTTGCACTGTAGCTGCACGATAAATAATGAGTCTCCCCCTCTTCAGACGAGCCTTACATCAATACCTACGCCGCCCTGAGCCTCTGCATCAGGTAGCCGACTCCAGGAACCGACGATGAGGCTCTTGACCCACAACACGCTCTCCTGTTAACAATTGGATTTCCTGTTCTGATCGAGGTAGAGAAGGCTATGGAAAAGCCGGTGGAATTCAATGCTGATTTCATCAGGAACCACTTCCGGAAGATCGAATGGAAGGCGCTGGTGGAGGCTCCCAGAACTATGGGCTATGCGAAGCTCCCGGAAGATGCTCAAATCCAGAAGAGGTACATCACGCACTCCTCCAGATTCACCTCGAAGGAGCGCCGGTCTGCCCACAAACAGGCCGGAAGTTTCTTGTGAGTTGGTGATCCCCAATATGCTTCTTCAAGAGGATGGGGTTTACATTTATTTTTATTTTCTCTTCTGTTTTATAATGATTTTCGGATGAATTAAGAGGCGCGAGGTAGAGTTTAAGGGGCTGATTTATACTCTGAGCTTTCTGATAAATATCCTACTTTGATCTTTCTCACTGTTTATGTTGATGAACTTACACTCAACAACTTGTGATATCAAAGCAACTCCAACCCTCTTCCTTAAAAGCTAACAACAAAAATGACAAAATGGCAGTAACTGGTGGGAGCAAACAAGCCAGAGCTGTGTTTGAAAATGGTTGTAACCCTTGCATTTCCATTGAGGTTTGTATCGCGTATGTTTCTGCCTGGAGAGGATTGCTAGCCTGGATAGGGAATGATACGGCTTGCAGGAGATTGCCATCTGAGTCTCGAAGGATAGCTCCACCCGCTGCCTTATTCCGTGCGAATGATGCATCTGTATTAAAGGTATTATTCTGACCTGGACCTGTGTACCATTGTGTGTCCTTACGTTGGTTTGTCTTCTGTGATTTCATATATGGAATAAGTCCGTCTGTGTTAAGATCCGGATCAAACTGAAAACCCTTTTTGTATGTTCCTTGATTGCAAAGATTGTAGCTATTTTTGAGAATTTTTTGTCGTCCCACATACAAGAGGTAGGTATATGCTTTCCAGATATTCCATATTATAATTCCTGGGACTGCCTCACATATTATAATATTCCATATTATAATCACTTTTCTATTCTTTGGTTTGTTCACCTTTAATGTGTCGGTCACTTTATGATGATATAAAAATGCTTTCAAATTCTTTTTTTTCACTTATTTGTTCATTCAATGCTCAACCAAGGGTTATCATAGTTCACTATTTTTTGAATAACTCTTTCACAACTTCCAACAATTTTGTACTTGCATTCATGTTCCCATCATTTAAAAAAAATACTTAGCTAGATTTAAAAAGTCCATCTTATTTATTAAAAATCCAAAAATACTCAAATCCAAATAAAAAAGTGTACAAGACAGATCTTTACTTTTGGCAGAGTTTGTAAGTTTCATAGCCCTGCAATCACTACTTATGTTTTTTTACGAATGGAATTCACTTCAAGATCAAACTGCTATCTTTTTTAATTTTATTTTCTAATTAACTTGTTTTTCCAGAATATGTCAAATATAGAAGCTAGATAGTTAACTCGCTACTCGATAGTAACTCGGTCAATGACCGAGTAGCGAGTAGAATTGATTACTCGGGATTACAAGGTGATTACTCGGCCTTGTATTAATTAAAATTAATAACATAAGTGCTCAATTAATGTTTTACTTTAAATTCCAGAGAAAAAATCAGGAGGAACATGATTTTATTCATAAGTGGCTCGAGGCTGAGGGTGGCGTTCAATCAGTAACCCGTTAAGGGGTGAGGGCTTCGCCGTCTGCACCTCCTTCGGATCACGGATAAAACTTCACCAGATGGTGTACATTCCACGTTCGTGGTACATTGGACCCATTCGGGCGTTTAAGCTTGTAGGTGCCGGGTTTGACCACGACACTGACGATGTAGGGCCCTTCGTACTTCATTGCTAGCTTGCCACCCTCTGTCGGCTGGCTTGCTTCTCTTCGGCGGAGGACGTAGTCCCCCACCTGAAATTCCCGGGAACGTACCTTGGCGTCATAGTATGATTTTACTTGACGCCGGTAGTTCTCTGCTCGGACGTAAGCTTGCTCACGCCTCTCATCGACCAGGTGCAGGTCAATCTTCATGCTTTCTTCAATGGCGTCAGGCTCGTACTGTTCCACCCGTCGGCTGGGGATGGCAACTTCCGTGGGCGCCTTTGCCTCAAAGCCGTAGCATAGGGCGAAAGGCGTTTCACCTGTCACCCTCCTCGGCGTGGTTCTGTAGCACCACAGGATGTTGGGGAGCTCGTCGACCCAACTACCTCCTGCGGCCTGGAGTTTCTTCTTCAGCCCCTCCATGATTGTTCTGTTGGCGTTCTCAACCTGCCCGTTGCCCTGAGGGTAGGCAACGGAGGAGAAACGATGCTTCACCCCAAACTCCCGGAGGAGCTCCTGGAAAGGGGCTGCCTCGAATTGGGTGTCGTTGTCTGATATAATCTCCTGGGGGACGCCGAAGCGTGTGATGATGTTCTTGTAAACAAATTTTTGGCATCTGGCCCCCGTGATGCTGGCCAGGGGTTCCGCCTCGACCCACTTGGTGAAGTAGTCGACGGCGACGATGATGTAGTGGTTGTTCTCGGCGGCTCTGGGTAGGGGGCCGACCAGGTCAATCCCCCATCTAGAGAATGGAATTGCGGTGCTGATGGGGGCGTAGTTGACGGCTGGCCGACCAGGGGCCTTCTGGAGCACCTGGCACGTGGTACACCTCCAGGCCAGATCCGCGCAGTCTCGCGCCATCGTCGGCCAGAAGAAGCCCTGGACGACGAGACGTCGGGACATGCTGAAAGGGCCCTGGTGCGAGGAGCAGACGCCACAATGAACTTCTTCCATGGCTATGTCGGCCTCGTCCTGGTGCAGGCATCGGAGGAGAGTGCCATTATAGGACCGTTTGTAGAGTTTGCCATCTTCGATGGTGTAGCTTGGGGTCCTGAGTTTGGCAAGTTTGGCCCTCTCCTCGTCCGGGGGCAGTTCCCCCGTTGTGATGAAGGTGACGATGTCGGAGATCCAGTCCTCTGGTCGCTGTTGGACGCACAAGACGGGGCTGGCATGGATGCTGGACATGCTCAACTCCTCGATCTTGGCCAACTGGGAGATGTGCTCCGGGGTGTCCGAGCTGAGTTTGGAGAGGATGTCGGCATCGGCGTTCTCGGCCCTTGGGATCTGAGTGATCTCGTGGGTTTCAAACGCTTTCAGCAACTCCTCCGCCGCTTGTTTGTACTGCTTCATCCGGCCTTCCTTTGCTTCGTACGATCCCTCCACCTGGCCCACTACCAGTTTGGAGTCGCACTTTAATTTTGAGGTGTTTGGCCTTGAGGCCGGCGGCGAGTCTGAGACCGCTGAGGAGGGCCGCCGCATGATTTCGCGGCCGACGAGCCGTCAGTGAACAGGGTCCATGTATCGTCCGGCTCCGGTCCGGGGTTGGCGACGGCCGTCTCCCTTGTTGTGCATTCAATGACGAAGTCGGCCAAGGCTTGCCCTTTGATAGATGGCATTGGCTTGATCTCAATTTGAAACTGGCTGAGGAAGATCGCCCATTTCACCATCCTTGAGGAGCTGGTGGGACTCCTCATGAGTGCGCCGAGAGGCTGCTGGGTCAGCACATGGACAGTGTGGGCCTGGAAATAGTGCCCCAGCTTCTTCACCGTGTGGACGATGGCTAGCACCGTCTTCTCAATGGGGGAGTACCTGAGCTCGGCCTCCCTGAGTGTCTTGCTGATGTAGAAAATGGCTTTCTGCACCCCTTCGTCCTCACGGATGAGCAAGGAGCTGATGGCCGACGTGCTCACCCCTAAGTACAAGAAGAGGGTTTCGCCGGCCTCGGGCTTGGAGAGTACGGGCGGGGACGACATGTACCTTTTCAAGTCGTCGAATGCTTCCTGGCACTCCGTCGTCCACTTGAAGCTGTTGGCTTTACGCATGATCTGAAAGAAGGGGAGTGCCCTCTCGGCCGACCTGGAGAGGAACCGGTTCAGGGTCGCCAGACGCCCCGTCAGTCGTTGTACTTCCTTGACGTTGCGGGGCGGCTCCATGTTGATGATAGCCTGCGTCTTCTCTGGGTTTATCTCGATGCCTCTCCGGCTGACCATGTAGCCGAGGAACTTGCCGCCCTGGACGCCGAAGGCGCACTTCTTGGGGTTCAGGCGGAGCCTGAACTCCTTCACGATTTCAAAGATTTCCCGGAGGTCGTCGGCGTGGGAGGAGGCCTGCCTGCTCTTGACGATCATGTCGTCGACGTACGCCTCCATCGTCCGGCCAAAGACCGCCCTGAAGATCTTGGCCACCATCCTAGTATAGGTGGCGCCGGAGTTTTTGAGTCCGAAGGCCATGACGAGGTAGCAAAAGATTCCCTCTGGGGTCATGAATGCCGTCTTCTCAGCGTCATCTTCATGCATGGAGATTTGGTGGTACCCTCTGAAAGCGTCGAGGAACGACATCAACTCGCACCCCGCCGTCTCATCCACCAGCTGATCAATGTTGGGGAGAGGGAACGGGTCCATGGGGCACGCCTTGTTCATGTCAGTGTAATCAACGCACATTCTGAACGTCGGCGGTTTCTGGGCGAGGACGACGTTGGCCAACCATGTCGGGTACTTCACCTCTTTAATGTGTTTGATTGAGAGGAGCATGGCGACCTCCCCTTTGACGAAGTCCCGCCTGTCGGCGGACAAGTAGCGCCGCTTCTGTTTGACAGGCGCGGAGGCCGGATCGACGGTCAGCCGGTGAGTGATCACCTGGCGGCTGATGCCTGGCATATCGTCCGGGCCCCACGCGAAGACAACGGCGTACGACCGTAGGACGAGGAGGATGGCGTCTCGTTGGTCCTGGGGGAGTTGCTTCCCGACTCTAAGAACACGCTCCGGCCGGGAGGTATCCAGAGGGATTTCCTCGACCTCCTCGGTCGGCTCCGCATGTGGCCTCTCCTCGTCCGTGGTGACGGCGGCCGTGATGGTGTCTATCCTCCGCCCTTCCCTTTCGGCCGGCCTCGTTAGCTTGAGGTAGCAAGCTCTGGCAATCCTCTGATTTCCTCTGGCGAATCCGATGCCGTCATTGGTGGGGAACTTGAGGCACAAGTGCTTCATGGAGATGATGGCCTCCAAGTCCTCCAGCGCTGGCCGGCCCAAGATCAGGTTGTGGGCGCACTGGAGGTTGACCACCATGAACTCCATGTCAATTCTGGCGCGGTGGGGGCCGTCACCGACCTCCACGGGGAGGACTATCGTGCCCTCGGCGTCGATAGAGTCCCCGGTGAAGCCGGATAACGGTGTCTTGATCGGCTTCAGCAGAGCTCTGTCCAGCTTCAGCTGCCTGAAGGTATCCAAGTACATCACGTTGACGGAGCTCCCCGTATCGATGTAAGTGCGGTGGATGATGGAGTCACCGATCTCACACCGGATGACGAGGGCGTCCCTGTGTGATTCCGTCCCCGGAGGCAAATCCTTGTTGGTGAAGGTGATCGCCTCCGTTCGCTGCTTCTTCGGCTGGGGGGAACGTGGGACACCTCCCCAATGTAGAGGGATTGGGCCCATTTCTTTCTCTGAGTGGCGGAGTCCCCCCCAGTGTTTCCACCTACGATGAGGTGAATGTGATTCTTCTTTGGCGGGGGGGCTCTTCGAAGTCCTCGTCGTCGCTGAGCCTACCAATCTCCCGCTTCTTCGCAGAGGGTTCGCCCCCATGTTTGCCGGTGTTTACCCATGTGTTTTTGCGTGGGCCACCTTTAACAAACTGGGAGAGTTCCCCTGGCGAATAAGGCGCTCGATGGCCTTCTTCAGTGTGATGCAATCGTCGGTGTTGTGCGACGAG